AACTGAAGGTCAGATGTCACTTTGGCAGGAGTTGTGAGTCCTTCTATCATGGATACCAGTCCAGTTCCAGTTTGCTGTACAGCCTGAAGCTTGTTCTCTCCACAGTAATTTAAAGAATACAATGGCTTTTCATCCTGATTGTAAAACAGGATTTTGGACATAGTTGAAACAGTGGCTCTAATCCAAAACTTTCTTCAGCTGAGCAGTGACAATCTCACAAGTCCCAGATTGAGCCCCACATTAGTATCCATGTGAAGGGCAACTTTGTTTTTCTCAGATTCTCAGAACTTCTTGTGTTTGAACTGCAGACATGACCTTTGAAAAACAGAGAGATTTATTTATAATTGGCTAGATTTGCAAGCTTGCTTTATTACATTATTTCCTGCCCAGAGTTTCTTAATACTGAATAGAAATTATTATGAAAACTTCTTACTTCAGGGCATTTCCAGGCTAGCAGGGCTGAAGCAGAACCTGTCACTGCTGGTCCACTTTTATTTCTGGAAAAATGCACTAAACCAAGCCAGAGTTCAAGTCCACAAGAGGAATGCATACACACATAACATTCATGCACACACTCAGTGAGTTAGTTCCAACTCCTGTTGTGGGACTTTCAGCCTGATGCCTTTAAACTGTACATAAGCAGTTGCTCTGCTAACTTGATGTCTCTTTTTTCTTGCAGCGTCCCGTAAAAATTATTTTACAAATGTGTCTCAGAGTCAGGAATATCCCTATTTTTATATTTTGCCAACTCACTGTCTGTCAGTGGAATAAAAGTGAGAGTCAGGGGGAGAAGCAAACTCAGCATGAAGTATGGGACTTCAGCCTAAAATGTAGTATGGAACCTTTACCTCTGAGCAGAACTGTGGTATCTTTTGCCAGAATACAGTACAGGCTCAAGCAACTATGGATAAGCTGTTATTATTCTGGCTTTTTGTAGCTAACTGTTTTATGCTAAACCCGTAAAGAGAATAAAAAATCAGCTCACTTTAGAGGTGGTGAAGAACTGGACAGGAAGTTGGTACTCACATGTGATTTCCTCACTCTGGTAGTACATGGCTGACATCTTCCGTATACTAAGACCTCCAGACCTCTGCATGATCTGCCTTTACTGCTATAAGGGCATTTAACCACAATAGCAATGAGCTTCATAGGAAAACCTTTAGAAATATGCAAGAGCTTCATCCAAAACCTATTGAACAATCTGCAGTTCAAGCCTCTGACCACACTTCAGCAATTTGAAACTCAAAAGATTTCAGTGTGGAAAGTCTATGCTTCATTACCGTGCTTTAAGGGGAGGAAGCTTAACATGTAATAGAAATGAGTATTAAAACTGCTTACTTCAGAACATTTCCAGGCACAACTTGTTGTAGTAATCCATTTTTGTTCCTGGTGGGGGCTTCCTTTCCAGCCCTTTATGAATTGAAAAAGACTTCATCTCCCTAGACCCCCCAGGATATATTAAGATCAGAACTAGAATGCATTGGAAGAGGAAGTTTCCATCCCACAAAAACTTCAGAATTTTAACATTGAATCTAGTTTCAAACCAAGATGAGGAGTTGACATTTCTAAGCTTTACCGAGAGTTAAATATTCCTCAGGCTTCTGATGCAAAAATGTCAGTATTTTCTTTCTAACTGTTTCCACTAAACCATTACTCTGAGCTGTAGATTAGAGGTACAGTATCCCTATTCACTCCTTTGCCTGTGAAGCTTATCAAGCAGTATCTTCTGTGATGCTTATTTTCATGACGAGTCCTCAGCCACCCCTAGTCATATGAGTATACCTATAGGTCAGTGTCTCAGCAGGCTTGACTAGTTCTGCAGCCTAAGTGAATCTACTTTTCCTGATAGTTGGGCTTCTCCTATTGTGTCGCATCTGTGGCATCCCTGATAACAGCCATTTCAAAACCTCCCCTCTGTGTTTTGTTCATGTTATGGGTAGATGCTGAAAGAAACAATTCTGCCTTCATGTTCCTTGCTAACTCTCTGCAGATTTCGGGGGGGATCATGACATATTTTAAACTATACTTTCATCTTTTGTAGTGAGTTCTCAGGAGCCTTGACAGACAATAAAAATAATGATATGGAAACGACATATTCTCATCTCAACTCAGACAACCATATGTTTCTTCTGCTCATAGAAACAAAAGTTAATATCTTATGAACTGTGTATTTTTTCAGGAACACTTTAACATTTTTTGTCTGATCTTTTGCTTTCATAAGAGTCCAGCCTAGATAATGTTTTCATGTAAGAGCTACTAAAAAATAATAGAAGAGATCTGGAGTAGTGTTTTTCATTTTAAAGAATCAGTGACTCCACTGCAAACACTACCAACCTTTTTATTGAATGTAATTATCTCCAAAAGATGGAAGAAGAAAAGCAAAAAGCTCTGCAGAAACCTTGGGCAGAAATAGGAATTTTATTTAATTTCATCAAAATTTCTAATAACATAAAAATATCTGAAAGACTACCAAGTACAGTAAGATTAAAACACATTTTATACATACTGCAAAAGTTTTGGTGTTCACAAGAGGTCTCCATTTTGCTCATACTTCCATTTGAAATACAGCATTTCAGCAAAATAATTATTTTTACACTATAGACTAAAAATGGCTGTCCATCTCAAAAAGAGCAATGAACCTCAATATAACTTCCTTTCACACCAGAGATTTTCTTGGCAGTTTCCTCTACAAGTTGTGACCTAGCTCCAAATTGCTCAATTTATAAATTAACTTTAATCAGAGTATAGCCCATGGCAACTGAGCTAATGATTCATGAAGTTAAAAAGACTTTAAAGTAGTAAAGGCTGGTTTTGAAATTGGTTGACTCATACCTGGGTTTAAGATCCAGTCCTTTTCACATCCAGGTGCTTCACATGTTCTTTTCAAAATAGGAAAAGGCATGCAGATCTGGAGAAGACTCCAGACTGAACCATTGAGTGAACATAAAATATGTTATGATCAGATATGAAAGGGAATTCTGCCCTTTCCTCTTATATCTGGGTTCCTCAGCAGGACCTTTCTCACTGTGGGTGCTAGTGACCCGTAATGCATTTGAAGGAAATTCATCTGATTTGTAGCATTATGTTGTACAGTTTTCAGATCATGCAAGTGTTTTTTTTTTTTTCACATCTTATCTATACGGAGACATTAATGAAAGTTAGAGCAAACTATTCTGTGTATATCAAAGGTGTTTCATCTCCTGTAGGAATTCTCTTATTCAGAACAAAAAATAGACCTAAATCTTACATGGTATCAACCATATAATTTATATATCTGTACTTGATAGCTCTGTATGGAGTAGTCACAATCAAGACAGTCTTGACTTTGCTTCAACTATCTAACCATTATTTGTCAAGGTGTTTCTAATGTGATAAAATGTCTCCTGCAGTCTTGGTATGACTAGGTTTTCAAGGAAATGTATCATTTATGTGTGATTCTTTCTCCATTAGCCCTCATTAATTCCCCTGGAGACATAATATATTGCAGAATCATAGGAGACTGACCCAGTTCTGACCCAGTAGAAGTGGGTAAAGCCAAAGAAATTTGATAATAGTTTTCATCAAGCCTGAATCTAAACCTATAATGATTTAAGTTAAACTAATTATACTATTGATATGACAGATAACCAAGGAAACCACTATTGTGCCATTAGTAAAATAATGGTGTTAGAAATGGGAATTGAATCGCTAAAAGTAAATACTGGATATTAATCAAAGCCATTTTCACAAGCGAGTGAAGAGAAAGTGTCAAACCCAGAAGTACATCTCACCCTAGCAGTGATCAGCAATTCTTCACACGTAGATTTGCACAAATAGGGAATATTAGTCTGAATGTTTAAGTAGGCAAGTTAAACATGCAGCTTTTATGAGTCTCAATAAGTGCCCTATTTGCTCTTATCAGTTTCTAGGACCCAGCTCTCTGATTTAACTGAAACTCACAGACGCAGGAAAATTTAAAGCTGAATAAACACTCTATTTAAAATTCCCTGTGTTTATATACACTCTCTGCTTGGCTAAGAGTCTTAGCACAACCTCTTTAGAAGTAGAATGGACATACAAATATTTTTTCATTGCTTACTTTGCATGCCAGAATGCTAGAAGGCCTTTCATTTTCTCATATGTATAATTATAACACTGTATGGACTTGCTTAATTTCTTGGATATCAATTATTTATGTGCAAAATTCATAACATGGATGCAGAATTCGAAGTTCAAACAAAAGGCCTACACTAGTGCTGTGCTAAATAAATTTATATTCCATTTATTTAATTTTAAATATATTTAAGTATACATTTATGTTTGATTCTCCTGGGAACTATAGATTTTTTGCAAACTGAGAAGCCTAGTTTATCCAAGTTTTAAAATTTTGAACCAAACAAATTCCACATAAGCATGAAGCCAGTTTCAGAGCAGGTAATTGCATTTCTGACTCTCAGTTCTTTTGTTTTAACCCTTCCCTCCTTTTTTATCAGATCTTTAACAATGTCTGAACATAGGTATTGAAAGTGTGGAATGGGATTATTGTCAAACATAATTAAAACCACATGGTTTTCCCAAAGTCATAGCAGGTAAAATTTCAATGAGATCTCAGCCATGTTACTATTTATCCCTGCTGCCCTTTACTTATATCTATCTGCTTCCTATCTGTCTTCTTGCCTACTTCAGGCATTTTTCTTTGTGAAACTCTAAGAAGTGTAATTTCTGATAGGACTCTGACCAAGAAATGTTCACAATGCCCTTAAAAAAACGGTCTCCAACAATACTCTTTTCTTTCTCTAGACTGCAAAAGCCATTGAGTACTAACCTGCTTACTATCTCATGTCTGAATTCAGTTCAAACTCCCAGCCAGATTTGCTCAGCCTCTTACATTGCTAAGGTACTTTATGGCCCTCTAGAGATGCTGAGAGATAAATTTGGCAGTGATTAGTTGCAGAGGTGGATCGAGCAGTCAGTCAGTAGGTGCTCACATTGAACTGCACGTCTTTCTTCTCTCTTGCCAGATTGTTGGCTGTGACCACCAGCTGGGAAGCACTGTCAAGGAAGATAACTGTGGGATCTGCAATGGCGATGGGTCCACCTGCCGTCTGGTTCGAGGCCAGTATAAGTCCCAGCTCTCAGCAAATAAACGTAAGCTGTCCCTTCTGGTAAAGTGCCATCTTGCCCTCTTAGTGAAATACGTGTTTCTTGCAAGCTAGATTTCACCCCACTCTTTTTCAGGCAGTAGAATGGTCACTTACAGATCTCCTTCAAATGTATGAATTCTTTCTGAGGTTTCCTTTCAAACGGTTTACATACATGCTGTGAAAATTTGAGATTATAAACATTGAAAAACTTTTAAAAATCAACTCTGTGTTTACTTTCTGCATTTATCCTTCTCAGCTCTGTTTAAATACCTGTCACTTTAGCACTTCGTCTGTGTCAGCATCTTGCTTACTTGTCACTGTAAATGTATCTACATAAGCATATCTGGGATCAGGGTCTTATTTATTTGCTAGAATGACTGGATTACTTTTGGCTAGTCAATACCTTAATTCAGTGTTATATCCATAAAATAATCCCTGTTTCTCAAGAATTATGTCTGTTTTGTCTGTGTCATGAGCAAGACATTAAAAACCTACGTAAGCCAGACTGCCATGCAACATGAGAAAAATCAGAAAGGACATGTGCAGCAGTGGCCAAGTATCAGCAGAGGTGTTCTGTGGGCTCATTTTGGATTTTTATTTGCCTAACAGAGAACAGCATTCAGTTTTGAGGACTGTGCGAGGGAAATTGCACAGTGACCTTTATTCCAGGACTGTCCCAATAGTTTCTGAAGTTGCTTTTATCTCAAAACCACACCAGACACAGTCTTGAGTTTATCATACTTAATTAATTGTTTCTCAGTGCTCATATCCACTTCCCTTTTCCATGCAGTTTATATCATGCAAAGGCATAGGAGAAAGATAGTACTACAGAGAAATTCACAGAGCTTTTAAACACTTAGCACTTTCTACAGGAATGGCTTCCTCAGTATTTATATGAGTAGTATATATCTCCCAGTAGCCTCAGAAACAGAAGAAAAGCAGGGCAAGAGGCTATATGACACTGAATTCTCTCTTACATTTTTATGAGAAAGGAAGCACCTGTTTCTACGTTTTTGTTTCTATTTGTAAACAAAAACAAAACCAAAAGCTCCAAAAAAACTTAGTTCATTCCAGAAATATAATTTTATCTTAGCCATAAACTTAGGTGATTAAATTTTTTTAAGTCTGCAGAAAGTGAATCTTTCTTTTTATCATAATATCTCCTTTTGGAAAGAGTGTATGTATCTTCCTATGGAGATTAGCTGTATTTAAGCAGATTTCTTTGTGTTCACCAAGGAGCTAGAGAGTTGATCCCATAAGTGGTGGGTGAATTCTGCTGATCACCTAGTGCAAAGCTAGTGTTTTTCTAAAAAATAATTGACATCTGCTAGTGAAGTAGATTACTTTTAAAAAAAGAATTGTAGAAATTGCTATGCTGAGGCAGAATAGATACTTCTGACTACTCTTGTCATGTTTGACAAAAATAGAAGCAGTTCCATAATTCCACTGAGTATCAGTAGTAATGGAGAAGAAGAAACAACTCCATTTTTCATCATGAGAACTGACAGTGAGATCATTTGGACAAAATCCAAATTCAAAATCTAAAACCAGAAGTAACTCATCTCTCACTAGAATCTGATGTATGTATCTGACATACAACCTTTGCCTAAATCCTTGCACACTCTTCACAGCCCTGGGCCACTGTCCTCTCAGTTTTCTGGGACTCTCCCTTGGCTCCCTATACATTTTCTCTGGAGGAGACCAACCACCCGTTCACACACTTTGCACCTTTTCTTCCTCATGGATGCTCCACAATCTGCTTCTCTCATTGTTGGAAAGAACTGTGACTAAATAATACCATGCTTACTTTCACATGTTTCTTCACAGGAAATGTCTCTTTCTTATCACTCTTAACCTCAGGAAATTATCCTTCAGTCCCTACTGCTTCTGCTTTTTGAAAGCAGGAAGCAGTGTGATAAGCATAAATCCCACTGAGCTTTGCATTTCACATAAAGTGTGCTAGGATTTCAAATGGAAAGCAATGACAAGATCAGGTGAAATATAGTCCTAGCAATACCCTGGAGCAGAAGAGACATACGAAGCATATATGATATATATGCTTGCATGATCTTTAAACTGTCTGATTTTTCTGTGACTTATCAGTGAGTTGTTAACTCTCCAGCACAGAGCTCAGAGAGACAGTCAAAAATAATAATGACATGGGACTGTCCTTAAATAAGACTTGTAAAAAGACCATTAATATTTTTTGAAAAATTGAAGTCATTGTTTTCCCAGACTCATTCCAATAAATGTGATATATATACAACAAATGATATGTCATATTCATGGATTTTGTTCCCCAAAACAAAATGTATTTATCCTACTGGGTATGTTTAATATGAGTGCCAGAATGGTACCAATAAATCCAGAATTAGAATATCAGTATTTAATGAATTTTGTAACACTCAAATATTTTTATTTTCAAATAGAAAATTTTAATTTTGTGTATAAATGAAAGATGTCTATTTTTGCTAATTAATGTGATATCAGAGATGTGTATGAAGAAAATCTGTGTTGAATAAAGTTTAACTCCAGTGTTACAGGAGTCTTAGGAGATACTGAAATTTCTGGATAGGTTGAGGAAACGTCAAATTAGATTTTGAAAATGGAGACAAGGTTCAGAAGAGCCTGGGCACACGAAGAGGCTTTATCTCCATGCAACTCATATGACACTCAGAGATATATCAGACTGCCTACATTTCACCCCTCACTTCTGGGATATTAAGAGGGCACAAAAGTATGGGTATTTCATACCATAAAGCTCTCCAATATAAGACTGCCAGAAATTCTTACGATGCATGACTAAATTTAAAATTTAAAAGGGTTCTGGCTCACTTTTATATATATTGTAGGTTTGGATGAATGAATGTGTTGTTTAGAAGAAGTCCCTGTTTCTTGTAGTTTTCCCTCTTTCTGTTGCTTCTCTTCATTTTTTGACATAAAATGACAACATTACTATTTTGCTGGTAACTGAGAATCCTGTTTTAGCTAGGCTGGAATGGTTTCCCAGTTTAATCTGGTCAGAAACTTAAGGCCCCAGCTCATACGTTGGGATGAAAGGTAATATGCTTTTATTGGCTGAGTTAGCCTTATCTGTCAAAGAAACATGTTGCTTTGAGAGCAGAGCTATAGATCCTGCTAGCAGGCATTATATGGCACAGATGTGAGAATTTCTAATGAACAGATAGTGAAAAGGGCTTCATTCCTCTCATATCTACCACCTCCCCTCCAAAAATCCTGTTAGACGTGCATACTTCTTCTTTCCCGACTTCTAGTTCTAAGAGGAGGAGGCAGAAGGGACAGGGAAGGGTGATTGAAGAACCTAGGTATGGTTGTTAGTCCAGGGCAGTGTTTTCTGGCTACCCACTTCATGACCCAGGCATAGAGTTGGGAGCATTTTCTAGCATCTTTCTACACCTTTCCTTCCTGTCCTCCTTCATGGTGTTACTGAGGTTGCTGCATCTTTAGAAATGCTAACCTAACTAACTTTCACAGCAGCATGTGATGTACATGCTAATTCACACCTCAGTTTAAATCCAGTTGACAAAGCTCCCAAAGGCTTTATAGGTGCAATATCCTGCTCTAAAACCTGTTTACATGACAGTCTAATGGGCTTCTGTTTTTCCAGGGGTTTTCTGTTAGTGGTGTGGAAAGCAAAACAGAATTATAGCACTTCTAGTCATTAAAATGAAAAGGTGTGAAAGGGAAGGCAGTAGGAAATCATCACATAGCATGGACAGAGTCATGGAGAAGCAGTAGCATTCAACTGGGAAAGGGTCAAGTGAAGGAATGAGGTGTCTGGTTAAACATCAGTATAGGCTTATGCTTCTCTGCTTCATCAGCAACACCAATTCAGAAGACTTGGAAGAGGTTTAAGTAGACTTGTGGTGAAATAGGAATCTATTAGTTACTCTTGAAATCCAGAAATGATTATTAAGGAGTTGAGAATTTAAAAATCAACAGGTTTGGGTTCTTCCGAGTAGAAAGTTCTTACTGCATTTGACAATTTATTTTTTCAGAGTTTTAATGTTCTCTTGTAATTTGTAGGGCTGTTTAATTGGTCCAAAAGCTTTTCTTTTGACTGCCTTGTAAGCACCTATTTCACTGCTTATTTTAAAACAAATGTGAATTTCTTTGCTTATTTACTCCATGCATTTTTGCCTTCCCATAGTGGACGACACAGTGGTTGCCATTCCCTATGGAAGCAGGCAAGTTCGCCTTGTACTGAAAGGACCTGATCATTTATGTAAGTTGAAAAAGTTAGTGTACATTTATTTAAGAAAGCCTTGCTAACCTGCAGTGCTCTGTTTACACTGTGGTGTCTGGTTTCCCTCTCTCACATCACTGATTTCAACACAGGGACGAGTCCTGCCCTCAGAAGCTCTTCTTAGACCCAGTTACATCAGTGGTACATGTTCTTTTCAGAGCAGAGCTTGGCCAACATTGCAGAATCCTTTGCCCCTCCATAACTTTTCAGTCATTTCTGTTTGCTTATCATTTGGCTGGCTCACTTGGTGCTAAGGGTTTAAAATTAATAAAATATATCCCACTGAGTGAAGAAATACTGAGGACAGAAAGTACAAGTTTCCCTACAGCTGAGCTTAGTCATCAAGCTCCTCATGACCATAACACATGGTTCTGTTATGATAATCTCTCTCACTCCTGTAGATGCACAGACACATGCACACACACACACACAAAATCACAGTCTAAAGATCAGAAACTGCATTCATGAGTCAAACCATGCTCCTTAGTCATGATATTGCTCCAAGGTGTTAAGACCACTGAGTGCTGCTAGCGGGTCACTTGATAGCTACAACACTTCCCTGCTTCATCTGACACGGAGCTGTGTATCCCAGCAGCTGTGTATCCCTCTTCTCTGGGAGAAGAGTCTCAGGATTTGAGAATACTCTGGGAGAGCTGAAGGCAAATTCATTTATCTCATGTATAGAAACTCCTTGCATTCTTCTCTCTTATCTTCTAATGCAGTAGCTACTCACAAGCTGCTCCTTATTTTGTCATCATCAAATGAACACTATAGTGTTGTAAATGGGATCTACTGTCAGAAAAAAAACCACAGACCTGTACTGCATAACCTCTCAGAAGCAGAAATTACTGTAAGTAGGGCTCCCCTTCTCCTTTTCCCAAAGGTAATAGGACTTTACTGCAGCACAGACCAGTTAGAGACTTCTATGTTTATCAGTGTAAATACAAACATTAGTGTCAGCAAGGAGCAAGGAGGTGAAAGTCCAGATCATTCCCACTGTCTCCATATTTCTTTCGCCCAAAGAATTTACACTCAATGGCAAAATAAGGGGTAGTTTATCAGTCCTGTTCTGTAGCTCACTGCTTGTGTTGAGAAAGCAGTGGGCATGCCATAACCTTTTAATGGTTCTTTAGATTTACAGCTGTGAATAAAGACCAGCAAATTACAGGTTATAAACTAAATAAAAATACATTGTGTTTTTCTTAAAAGTTCAAATGCTGCCTGTACTTCAGTTTTAAGTGGCCCTTTGGGTATTCCTGTGCTGCTCCAGTATGGTTGTTATGATTTTCCCAGTAAACAATTTGCACTTTTCCTTTCTCTCCTGTCTTCTTTCCCAGTATAGATGTTCTCTTCCAAGGTAGAAAAATTCCATACTTTTATTATTTTTTCAGTGAAACTGAGCTACAGGACAGCTTAAAGAGAAATGATATTTTAGCAGGAAAGACTTATCTAAAGCTGTCTTCACTCAGGCCATATCACATTTCAGGACAAAAAGATTTGAATCAGCAAGGTCTGCCTGAGTCACTGGTTGAGATTTAGATTAACTGCTCTGTGTAAACATGAATGAGTCCAAATACATCTCTTTCTTGTTTCAGATGTCTCCATGAATCTTTCTGTTCACCCATCAAAGGATTTTATATATGTATGAGCTACAATCAGTTGGGAGGAGGGAGTATTTTGCCCTGTGAACTTTGGTTGTGGGAGAAGTCAACAGGAGGCCGATTATATGTACACAAGTCTTAAAAACATTTTTATCCCTGATGCATGCAGCCTTGTACAGAAATAAATATATGGCCAAGTGCATCACAAAGGAAGAGACTAGCCTCACTGAAAACCAAGGAATTCATTAATATAGAGCAAATTCTTAGTGTACTGCCTCAGCAACTTCCTTCACGAATTAATTCCCATGACCCATTCTGAAAAGCAGTCTAATTACTGCAATTATCTTTTCACCCCTGTCGTGGTTTAGGCCTCATTGGCAGCCAACCACAATGCAGCAGCTCTCTCTCCCTTCCCCTCCGGCAATGAGAAGGGACAGAGAGCCAGGCTTGGGGTTCAAGATAGGACTGGGATGGGGAAAAATCCCCCTTTTATGATCATGCGCAAAAGGCAGACTCGCTACGGGAAGAAAAAAAGAACATACATTTATTACAGACACTAACAACACATAACAGAGTAGGACAGTGAGAAGCATTGCCACATCTTGAGAACACCTTCCCCCCACCCCTCCCTTCTTCCTGGGCTCAGCTCTGCTCCCGATATCTCTACCTCCTCCCCCAGTGGCGCAGGGGCAGGGAATGGGGGGTGCAGTCAGCGCTGCCACTTCCTTCATCTTCGGTGAGGGGAGTGTCCGAAACTTGTTCCTCCTGCTCCATCGTGGTCCCCCTCTCACAGGAGACAGTCCTCCACAAACTTTCTTTGACTTGAATTCCTCCCATGGGCCGCAGCGTTCCCCACACTGCTCCGTCATGGGTCACTAACTTCCTCCGACTGGATTCCCTCCCACGGCTGCAGCCCTTCCCGAGCTGCTCTGGCGTGGGACTCCCCTGCATGTTGCAATCCTCCCAGTGCTGAATTACAGCAGCGGGGCTACCTTTTCCCATGAGACCCCGGCCTTCTTTGGGCACAGCACCTTGATCAGCTGAGCAGGAGCAACAGGCCACAAATCAATGTCTGTTCCACCGTAGATCTTCATGGGTGTCAGGGGGGAGCCACCCTGCCGTCTCACCACAGGATACAGGGGGTCTCTGCTCCGGCACACCTCCCCCCTCCTTTCTTCGTCTGTTCCTCCACTGACCTTGGTGTTCATGCAGCTGCAGCAACTCCTCCTCACAAGTCCCACTGCCCGTCACCACGTCCCTTCTTAAATATGTTATCGCAGAGGCACAGCTGATTGGCTCAATTTCCCAAACAGAAGTGGAGCTGACGTGGAGCTGGGGGAGCTTCAAGAAGCTTCTCACAGGGGGCCGCCCCAATAGCCCCTCCCCTGCCACCAAAAAACTCCACCACTCACTCAACCCAGGACACCCCCCTAATTAACAACTTAGTACATGCTAATAAAAATGCTTCTATCATTTATTGTCTCTGAAAATATGATTCCATCACCAATTAATAGTATGACCCCAACTAATTCAGATTGTGCTTTAGCTGCTTCTCTGTGTAGGAGAAGATTTTGTGCATAATTTCACAAATACATGTGAAAGGATTGCAGCTTTGCAATCCTCGATGATGAAATACATTGTCACTTTGAAATAACTACAAGAAACAGTTCACTGGTGAACAGGCTGTAAAGCATAATCTGGAGTTGGTGAGGAGGCTAGCTAGATGATGGAACAGATCTACTTTTTGACTGTTGATTTCTATTTAATAAACGATTTAATATGTTTATTATGATTTAACAGTCAGAATTAACTGCTACCAAACAGTACCTGAATTAATGCCCACCTTTTGGGAGTTGTGAATGCAGGGAGCCAGAGGGAAGGGTCAAGAGGGTTCAGCACTCACTTTCCCTTCTTACACCACTGGGATGGATCAGACTACTTCTGGAGAGGAGGCAGGATTGCTGTCATACTGATCTTTCTTTCCTGGATGTCTTGCTTTCAGTTAATCATCTACCACAGCAACATGTGGCTAGTGACCCATCTTTGAACTGAAAGAGGGAACAGCAATTTAACAAAGCCAGCACTCATGGGTGAAGGTCTGAGTCACGCTCCACAAAGGAGCGTGACTTACTGAGAGTGAATTAAACAACAGAAAATATGCCTAACTAGAAATGGATTAATGTGTCTGGAAGAGAGTAAAAATGTGACCTAGGGGTGAGGAGGTGAATGTGGAATTAGAAATCTAAAGGTTGAACAAAGCCAAAAAGCAGATGAAGGAGAAAAAAGAAAAGTATGGGAATGTAAATAAACTGTGGAAAAGAATGAAAAAGTTGCATTATCACAAATGTAGGAGGCAAATCTCCACCATTGCTGTTTTGTGTTGGTTTTCTTTTTCTGCTCTCACTTACTCTTACTCAAATGACAATGCTGTACTTTCCTGTTAATTTGTTTGTATTTGTCAGATTTGGAAATCAAGAGTCTTCAAGGTGTGAAGAGTGAAAACAACCTCAGCTCCACAGGCTCTTTCCTTGTGGGCAATTCTAGCATCGACTTCCAGAAGTTTCCTGACAAGGAGGTACTAAGAATATCTGGGCCTCTCACTGCAGACTTCACTATCAAGGTGAGGGTCATTAGCCATTGACCTCTTAGAAGAACATAAAGTAAGACAAGATGCATTAGAAAGATAGGAGAGATTTTTCTAGATCTTAATTTTCCAGTAGACATTTACCACAAAGCCTAGTCCAGCCTAGCTCATGAACTCTACATTAAATTTTTTATAGTTAAATATCTGATGAAAGCCTCATTGGACAATCCTCAGGAAAAAGGCTGAGTTTATGCCAAGAAAAACATACCCAGTGTATGCCCTAAAGATAAAAGATTAACTTACTACAAGAAAAGGCAGATTACTTTCTGTATGTGTTGCTGAGGTACGTATAAATGAAGGACATGAAGCTTGCTTTGTCCATGACAAGCAAAAAGAAAGAAAGTCTGTATCTTGGGCCCATAATTTTGGGGGTTTATATTAGTGTAATTGCACAAAAGACTGTAAGGGAGTGGAGAATGAGATCCCCAATCTCCAAAATAAATGGGATAATTTTGCTTGAGAAGTCATGGTGTCATTTTGAAGTTATGCTTTGTGTTGCACTGGCAATAAGAATAAAATTATTTCCTACCATTAGAGCATTTCTACTCTTCCAGGTAATATAAAACACATTGCTGGAAGCAATGCACACATTCAGTGGGAAAACACACATACAAAAATGAACATTTGGAAATTACAATAAAATAAATCCTTTTCCAGTAGGCCTAAGGAACTTGAAGGATTTCAGCTGTAAAACTGTAAAACCTGTATCATGTGCAGGACTACATAAATTTTTCAATATGGGCCCCAGAGGAAGATGACTTCACCTTTAACCTAGAACTGATGGCAGCTAGAAGTTTGAACAGTGAACTGGAAAATGCAATGTGATTGGTTTGGGTTAAGCTGGGCTGATCTTGAACGGGTTAGCTTTGGAAGTAGCAGAGCCCTGTAGACTGTCCCCTACCCATTTTACTATGTTAGTGACACAAAAAACAAGCTGAAATTATCAGGACTGATTCACAAGGAGAAGCCTGACCTGAAGAATGCATTCCTTTCTCTTTACAGGTCAGAATGAAAATGCCTTAATAAAACAGATGCTGTTCAATTCAAAATGTCTAGAACACTTCTGCCTGTATTAAAGATGATATCCAGATGATAAACATCAGAGCAATGTAAACAGTACTGCTCACTTTGCGTTATTTGTGCTATGGATTTAAGGCAGCCTTGTTAGTTAAAACATACTTGTTGGGGACAGCTGTTCATGTAGACCAATGGCCCTGAAATTGTAGCAGGAGGGTTGGACTGTGTTCCTGGTATTTCCACTGTTATCTTTTATGACAGGGAAAATACCTTTATCCCTTGGTGCTTGCATTTCCTTCCCTATCAAAGCAAGGTAAGAAGCACTGGTTAAATCAAAGGCTGTAGTCTACTCGTATCATGACTGCCTGGCCCGTGTGAGTGCACAAGCTCTCTAGGCATGGGCAGAACAAATGCTGCTGAGTTGAGATTAAAATATTGTAATATTTCTGCTATGTCTTTGCACCTTTCTAAAGTTAGAGTAGCATGACTCAAGTGGTTTTAATTTATGGATATATCCATTGTCTTTAGTGGATATAGAAAAATGTATAACCCTCCCCACCCTGTTCACAGTTGCAGGATCTTTTCTAAGGTTAGCATTAGATTTTGCCTTGGATCAGGCACTTTAAAATTCCTTGCATTTGAATCACAGCTATAGAAGATACTTTAGATATTAATTTGTTCACCAAGGATACTAATCTATACTATTTAATTATTTTTCTAACAAAATTTTTCAGCTCTGGGTATTCAATTTGTTAGATTTTGTTGGATATAGGAGTGTACATACAACGAAGACGAATACAGGAGTACCAAAATGCATACGTACATCTCAGTTATGTCAGACTTGGCAGCCGCTTTCCATGCTTACTACAGCCATGACTGTTTTGCCTTTGGCTTGTGAAGGTAAAACACTTTTCTTCAAAAAAGCAGATGAAAGTCTTCTCTGCACTATTAGCAAGTTTTCCTCACAAAGTGGGATCTCTTTGGGTGTCAAGATTTTCTTTCCTGGGGCAAGGCAGTTTTTATGCAAACAGATATAAATGAATTTGTAGATGTAGCAGAACTCTAGTTTTAGGATCATTGTCTCCAGTATGTCTATTACAATTCTTTTCAATTGATCCTGAATGTTTTTATTCAGAGAGGTCAAGTTAGACACCTGGATATAATTCAGAAGTAGAAACTCAATGTGGGAGTTGACATTTAAGTTTCTTTATTGGTGACATGGAGTGCTTTAAAATTGCAAGAAGGAACCTCATGCTGTTTCTGTAGGAGCTGAATTGTATAATTGCTAGATTTCTTGACTTTATAACAGTCAGTGGCACATTCCTTGTGTGCTAAACTCTTGGCAATCTTTTCACAAGATATGTGAATTGGAAAAGTAATTCAGTAAAGCAGGTTTTTTTTTACAAAAATAAAGGTGTTATCACAAAATAGGACAACTGGAGTTTTTCATGTTCTTACTTTTTATAGTCATAGTCTGAGAACTGTAAATCTCCATTATAAACTTCTAATGTTTGAAAGGCAGAAGACCTGGAAAAGATGATAACAAACTTAAATTTTATTCCTCAATTCTGAGGATTTCCTTGTTTTGATGTTTTTAATACAGAATTCTGATTCATACAAATAGAAATGCCTTTTTCCTAACAGAAAAAAGTGAAATGTTTGATAAAATCCTGGTGAAATGAAGGTCAGTTTTGCTTGGAAATATTTCTGGCTGACAGTGTGATCTAGAGAACAGAGCAGTAATATCACATAGGAGGGCTTGCCCTTTATTGGCATAGCTGCCACTGATCTGCTGTGTTGCCACGGTCACATATTTACCCGTCTGTGCTAAAATGTCTTCTCTGTCAATATTGTCCATTTCAGACACAAAACAGAGAAACCTGGAGTGGCCATTTCATGTCACACATCTGACTCCTTTGAGCAGGATGAATAAATATTGTCAGATGGGGTCTACAGCTGATAATGTGATGCTAACAGTCATCACAGATCAACTGTTTAAAGCAATCAGCACTGCAAATATGAACCACTTGAGCTATAGACTTACTGAAACAGCCATTAGGGATTGCCAGGGAACGGTTAGCGTTGGCAAAGCACAGCCTGTTAGGGCTTGTTTCACAGGTTGTGGTTTTCATATAGCTGGGGCTGTAGTCCTGAGGTGTGAGGCAGCAAAGACCAATGGGTTTAAAACAAGGTCTGAAGTGTGTTGTCCAGGCTTGGGGCTGGTTTGGAGGAGAAACCACTGTTGACCTAGATCTAGCTCAGACTAGGTTTATGTTGGTTTTCAATCTCTGGTATCAAGAAGAAGGTTTGTTCATAGGGCCTGCATGGACCCATGGCTTTGCATCAGGGATGTATGAGGTTGGATCAGATAAATGTTTGTCTGGAGGCTGTCAGAGGTATTTGGATTAGGATTGAATTTGTATTGATGTTGTCTTTTGTAATGCTAGGGCTGACAAGTTTTGGTTATGGGCTGCTGCCAGAAAAGACTGCCTGGATGACTTTTTGTGCTGGTGGCTGAGGGTAGTGCTGACTGATTTAGAAATGGTGCGAACTGGGTGCCCTTGAGCAGGGTTACTACTAGAGATCAGGATTTTAGCCACCACTTGTCCAAAAAGTTATAAAACAGAGCTCAAACTGGATGCTGAATTATGCAGAGCACTAGAGCTAGCCAGGTAATTCTTATTTCAGTTGTGATATAGCACTGGCAGAAACCACTGGTGAAAGAAATGAATTTGATTAGAGTCCAGATTAACAAAAGAAGATAAAATTGGGTCTTAATCTAGACTTCCTGGGATTTACAAGGGCACGCAGGACATAATGCATGTACAGGCAGCCAGATGGCAGAGGGGTTGGTAGGCCTTGTCAGGCTATGTCCAGGACTGTATTAAATAATCACTTTTGAACCAAGAGCATACAGTGATTTACTTTGTGGAATTAAATAAGAAATTACTTCAATACTCACTTTAGGGCAAAGGCCAAAAGATGCAAATCTGTTCTAGCAGCAAGGACCTACTGTTTATTGCTGGCTTAGCGTTGGATTTTAGAGATACTACCATATGAGGATTGGAGGTGATGACAGTAAGGGTCTTCTCTGTAATTTAGTTTTGATGCTGGCAAAGTTTCCAGTGGAGATTATGCCTCACATCTGGGAGAAGGCTTCAGGTCAGGCAGGAAGTGGTCTTGGAAGCAGACATCTAGTCTTGGAAGCAATAGCAAATCAGGGTTAGGGTGGTGCTCCTCTGAGAAGATGAGATAGAATTAAGGCTGAGCACGTGGAAATAATAAGAGTTAAAGTTTCGCTGTGACTGAGGGAAGTTGTGTGTTATGAAGGTCAAATCACCAAAACACTTTGCTTAGTCTAGAAGAGACCATTGGAATATAGTCCCTTCGTCATTAGACAATACTACCTCTTGAGATTCATGTCTTCCAGAGGTCACTTCTGTAGTAGAGATTGGTCTGTATCACTGGCTTTTAGCAACCAATGTTTGCATTAAATACTTTTTTTTTAAGCAGTAGTCATAAAAATCACCTAATCTGATTTCCAAAAAAGGTACAATTTTTGTAATAATTTCTAAGTAAAGCTCACAGTGATGACCAGCTTGAAAAGAGACCTAGTCATTATTTATCTTGACTAGATCTTGTGAGAAGTTCAGAAATATTGTATGCTTTTTGTCCTGTTTTGGCAAATGAGTCCCAGAAACAGATCAAGGTTACCTCCTGCTTGTAGACTCTTTCTCAACCCTCATCTTTCATTTGGACCATTGCATCTAATGACTCAAATGAGCCACTCTTTGGGAATTTCTATAGTCCCTTTTGCCCTCTTGACAACATTTAGCTCATAGGATGAGTTGCACAATGAACTATGCATTGTGTAAAATAAGGAGTACATCTCATTTGTAAACTCTTCGTGCAGTATTTTCACTGACTGCTTTTGGTTTTCCCACTCTGAGAAAGAGGAA